TACCATTTTCCAAGGCAACCTTGTAAGACCGGGGGTGCTCAGTATTGTCTTTAATGATTCCAGGTTGCCAGATGTTATTTGATGGATTCAGAACTCTAACTGGTTCATTATATCTTAGAGGCTGTAATGGCTTTGCTCCTTGATCATAGGCTATTTTACTTCTGTCTTGTTTCTCTTGAAGAGTTTTGTTAACTTCTCCATCTGCGGAGAGACCAATGCTTGCTTTTGAAATAGTAGGCAAGTTTGTTTTGTAGACTCGAGAATTGAGAAGCTCAGCTGGCGAGGCAGTAGTATGATCTAGTGGTGTGGTTCTGAGGCACAGCATGGCTAAGTGAGGATCCTCACCAGACTCCTTACATTTTTGGAACAGGTGTTTAACAGTCTGAACATTGCGTTCTATGAACCCATTGGCTTGTGGGTAGTTGGGTGATGTCGTTATGTGATYGAATCCATAAGTACTGCTAAAAGTCTTGAAGGCAGTAGATGTGAACTGTGTATCGTTGCCTGTGATTAACTTATCAGGAATGCCATGCTCTTCGAACATACCCTTTAGGTGTGCTATAGTGGTAGTGGATTCACAGTTCGATAGCTTTCTTACTAGTGGGAACTTGCTATAATAGTCAGAAACAAGAAGATAATGTGAGCTGTTCCAGTAAAATAAGTCAGCACCGAGTRTATGCCATGGCTTYTGAGGTACATCATGTGAAATCATGGGCTCCTTTGTGTTTTGGCTTTGATGGCGTTGGCATGGTGTACAACTACTGACAGTACTTTCAATGTCCTTGTTAATATTAGGMCWAAATACAGAGCCCTTTGCTCTTAGCTTGCATTTTTCTATGCCTAAATGRCCAYAGTGTAATTGGTTAAGTACTTCTTTCTGCAGTGTTTCAGGAATTACAATCCTAAGTCCCTTTAGAATAATACCATCTGCAACAGTTAACTCATCTCTGTAATTCCAGTARACATGTAAATTAGGTGGGCATTCTGACCTTTTTGCAGGCCATCCATCAAATATGATTCGTTTCAGTGTTGCAAGGTCAGTGTCTGCTGCTGTCTCKTGCTTGATCTGTTTAAGTCTAGTGGGTGAAGCATTCAAGTGAGAGTGTAATTCGTGTACAGATACATCAAGTCCTGGAMTTGTGTCACCGGGACAAGGATTAATACGTGACAAAGCATCGGCGAGAGGAATTTCTTTTCCAGGAACGTATATCACTTCAGCATTGTATTTCTGAATCCGTAGTAACATACGTGAAATGCGTGGCGGTGCACTTGCAAGGTGTTTCTTAGAAATAGCCTCTAGTGGCTTATGGTCAGTTTGGACTGTCACAGGTCTGCCATAGCAGTAATAGTGGAATTTCTCAAGGCCAAACACTATGCCCAGCATTTCACGTTCAATGTTTGAATATYGCCTTTCAGTTTCAGTTAATAATTTACTGGCATATGCAACAGGTTGATTTTCCTGTAGGAGTACAGCGCCGAGGCCTCGTTGTGAGGCATCAACTTGAACAACTACAGGTTTCTTACCATCAAAATACTTGAGTGAGGAMCTTGCTGTCACAGCTTGCTTGACTTTTTCAACAGCTGTTTGGTGTTCAGGACTCCAGACAAATGCACTTGTTTTCTTTACCAGATCCCACAAGGGAGCTTCCAATGAGGCCAAGTGGGGTATGAATCTGCTGAGGTRTTGTGTAGCTCCTAGAAATGTCTGTAATGCCTGAATTGAAGAGGATGGATCCATTGCGTTTATAGCTTCAACTTTCGATGGGTCAACTTGTAGGCCATCTGCACTCAGAATGTGGCCGTAGAATGGTATGCTGGTACTCTTTATAACACATTTGTCAGGGTTGAACTTGATCCCTGTACTCTGTGCCTTCTCCATGACTGCTTGTAGGTTGGYGTCATGATCACTACCATCTTCTTTGAATCCTGCGATCACGATATCATCTGCTATGCCAGTAACTCCAGTTAGATCACCAAAGGTTTCATCAACTTTTTTCTGAAATACATCTTGTGCACACACAAGGCCAAAGGGAAGTCAACAGAACCGGTATCTTCCGAAGGGCGTATTAAAAGTTGTGAGATAGGAGCTTTCTTCATCTAGTTTGATATTCCAGTAACCACTACGGGCGTCAACAATAGAGAAGTATTGTGCTCCATTGAGCTTGGCTAAAATATCTTCAAGTGTAGGTGTATAATAGTGTGGTCGCTTAATAGCTTTGTTTAGGTCCTTAGGGTCAAGACATAGTCTAATAGAACCATCCTTCTTTCTCTGTATCACAAATGAGTTTACCCAGTCAGTGGGTTGTTCAACTTTTTTCAGGATTCCTTGGGCACATAATGAGTCAAGTTCGTCTTTAAATGGTTSCGTCAGAGCTTCTGCGACACGACGGGGCGGATGTACAGCAGGAGGTATAGTCTCGTCAAGCACTATGTGRTATTCACCCTCAAAACATCCTATTCCATCGAAGCAACTGCTGTAATTATCAAAGAGTTCCTTGGTTGCTTTTGGATCTCCCTTTGGTTTTGTCATCAGCTTTGGTTCATCTGTAGAACTAACTTTGTAATTTAGACTACAGTGGAGAGTAATAAGCTTTAAATCTTGACATGACTGTAGACCGAGTATGGCAGGTCCTTGTGACTACAATGTGGAATACAGTCTGTATATGTGTGTCATCATATGCAACACTCATATTGCATTTACCATAGTTTTTTATACTGTTTCCTCCATATGCCATAATGGGCGTAGAACTGTCTGTTATTTCAACCTCTTGAAACAATGTGACATATGTTGATAGTGGCGTGACATTGCCTTCAGCCCCACTGTCTATCTTACAGACTACAGGCTTGTCATTGATGTTAACAGTTGTAATTGCCTCAGCTGAGGATGCCTGGTTAATGTTATTTACAATCAAAGGGCTAAAGTAAAGTTGTGTATTGTCACTTTGTTCTTTCTGTAATTGTATTGATGTCCTGCTTGAAACTTGCTTTGGGTTGTGAGGATGCACTGTTTTTGGAGCGGCATTGACTAGACCAGTGATGAAGGCGATTGCAAGAGTGACAATATGTATTAAAGGCAGGACAGTTTTCCCTTTTTGAGATATCATGGGTCAACAACCCACAGTTCCAGCATTTTTTCTTGGCAGAATCTGTTTTCCTTGTGATATTTCTTTCAGTTGTTTGTCTTGAGCTTTTAGGCGCGTCTGGTTTTTGTTTGTTTATAACGTGGAGTTGTGCTGCATCTGTTACTGCTAAGTTCATCCCCTGAACTTGCTTCTTAGTTGCTTCTTCTGTACGAGCTATATCTATTGCTTTATCCAGTGTTATGGTTAATTCTTTCAATAATTTTGACCGAACCTGGTCAGAATTAGTTCCAAAGATCAGTGCATCAATAAGGTGCTCATTAGGTTTTTCAAACTGGCATTCCTTGACCAATATTCGCAGTCTCTTGACAAAGGAATCTACTGATTCATCGATACCTTGTGTCATAGATCGTAGTTTGAATCTTGAAAGTCTAAAGTTGCTTTTTGGCACAATGTACTCTTCAAATTTCTTCCAGTATGTTTCGAGTTTTCCCTTTTCTTCTTCAGTTAGAGTCCATGTTGATGAGAGTTCGATGCCGTCATAGTTGATCTTTTCGGCCTCCGTTTTCTCTTTAAAAGGGCCATCAAAAATGAGAGAACACTTTGCTTTGAATTTTTTGAACGATTGAGGTGCTTCAGGTGAGTTGAAGTCAATTTRCGGAATGGGTAAGCCAGCGATGGTTTCATTTGTCATCGTGAAGTCAAGTGATTAGTTTGCAAGTTTGATTATCATCTGAATCTCTAATGGAGTTGAATTCTGACCAAGAATAACTACACGAGAGGGTAGATAGACATCACTTCTGACACCATGTTGTGTTTTCATATAAGGATGGATTACACTAGCTTGGTTTCAAGTAGATTTACTTCAGTACAAAACTTACATCATGGCAGCCATCTTAGAAAAMCATGTGTTATTCTAATTTRCATAAARTATGTAAATGATACARAMCGGAAGTGAAATAAGAGGAAGTAAAACCATAACATTGCTACCACAGGGTTTACGTCTAATGGGTTCCCAAATTGCTGCTACTGTGCCACGGTAGACTTTGTGAGGCTCATCTGTAGGGTTCAGCATGCGAAGTGGTATAGCTGGGCTCCCTGTGTTGATCACGGCTTTAGCTAGGAGAAGTTGATTTGACTTCAGTAACCGCTCAGTTGGCTCAAGAACACCAATACCAGTCACGTCACTGACGAGTTCACCAGGGATAATTACTTCGCTGTGCGGTGGAACAACCAACGTCCTGCACACTTTCACTCGGCTTAAGTGGGGCTGTGGCTCCTCGTGGCTTGTGCTTTTTTCCTCTTTTTGTGATCCAAAGGTCATCTTGTAGCGGCCTCCCTTCAGGAACAGCTCTCCTCCAACGGCTCGCATCACATCCAGACCCAGGATACCATCAGGTTCGATAGCTGCCACCCACAGTACTCTTGTCGCTTGTTCTCCGCCCAGCTGTACCTCGAACTTTCCTCGTCCATCGAACGAGGAAGCACTGCCATCTGCTAATTTCATCTGAACCGCCACGCTCTCCAAGAAAGGTTGGGTAGACAGCTGCTTCCAGATGCTTGTCTTCAGGATCGTGATGTTGGACCCGGTGTCAACCAGGAACTTGACGGGCGTCCCTTGCACACGTCCCTCCACGTAGAGCTCATCCCCGTAGTCACTTACTCTCCCGGACTTGACAGATGGGTATGAGGGCGTTGCTGATCCTGCCAGGCTTACGCCCGAGGGCCCGGCAGGTTGGCGTTTCCCGCCTGTTGTTGGTTGGCAGGTAGCCGCTGTCTGGGCCTCGGTTGAGGCCTCTGGCTTGTCTGCTGGTATTTGGCTTTTTGGCTCTGCGGTTTTCCAGTTTTATCTCCCGGTTGTGCGGAATTCAGCGGGCAATCTCTTCGGAAGTGGTCCATTGCGCCACAGCTAAAACAACCTTCTTGTCGCCGGGGTTCTGGAGGTTGCAGCTTCTTTAATTGGACTTTTAGAGTCGCCACTTCATCCGTCAGGTCCGCCACGGTCTTGCTTTCAGTTTGAACTGATCTTAATTGCGGTCCATTTCTCTGTCTGTTCGCCACGTGGAAGGCCTCCAGCTCCACCGCTATATCCAGAGCCTCGTTTAAGGTACTTGGGCGTGACTGTTTAATTTTCCATTTGGTGTCGGTGTCTTCCAAGGCGTCCACGAAGGCATCCTTCGCCAGCACTTCTCTCAGCTCCGTCGGGGCCTGGGGATAGGCATTCCTTGTCAGCCTTCTAATCGCCTGGGCCAGTTCAGGGAGTGACTCGTTTTTTCGTCTTGTGCGAGATTTAAGTCCCGCCCGGAACATTTCTGTTCGGTTATTGTTGCCAAACCTCGTTGACAGGGCCTCCGTCAGCTCCTTGAGGCTCYTTTGTTGCTTTGCCGTTAGGTCCCCCAACACCTCCCTAGCTGGACCGGAAAGGCTGACTGCCARGTACGTGGCTTTCATCTCGTCCGTCCAACCGTTCAGGTCGGCARTGAGATAAAACTGCGCCAGGTAGTCCTCCCAAGACGTGCTACCATCGAACGTCGTAGGCTTAATTTTCGGTTTAGCCATCTTRGGAGTTTTGCTGGCCAGGTTTTCGAATTCTTCAAGAGCTTGGTAAAGCTCACCGTTATTTTGCTCCTCCAGCCTGTCATCAAGCGCCACGTACTTGACCTTGTCAGGTTTCACTGCTTCGCGTTTCTGGACGCTTGATCTCTCTAGCCGGACCATTCTTTCCTCCATTTCGTCGAATCTTTCTGTAAAAGATCGATTGTGTTGGCCGATCACCTTCGTTAGCTCCTCCACGGACGCCGTGAGGCTTGCTATCCCGCTATCGGCACTTGCGGGTTGTTTTGGTGTTGACGTCTGCCATGTCGATGCACACGCCAACTCGAGCTCTTCTGGACTGAGGTCGATCAAACTGCCAAATTGTACTTCGCTTCGGCTTGTTTTCTCCATGATTTTAGATTCTTTTTCTTTAAATCCCACCGCTGCCACTAATGTAACGGACCGGTATATGGTTCGGCGAGGCGAAGACAAAGAGTACGACTTGAATCGGTACTAAGGCTGTTTATTGATAGACCGTGTTTACAACTCCGGACTGAACTAACTTTACGACAATATGTGTCCTATATTTATACTAGTTACAATCTATTTACAGGCTATGATTTAAGTCTAATTACAGAATACATTACGTGAGTCA